AAGGAATGGAAGGAAGGAAGGAAGGAAGGAAGGAAGGAAGGAAGGAAGGAAGGAAGGAATATAACCACCGTCTGGAAAGTAAATCCTGCCAAAAGACATAATCCTGCAAAATACTGCAAATGTTTAGCTTTGGGAAATGAAGACTTTTTCAGGGAGCTGTTGTGACGATAATTAAGATATTGAAATTAAGATGTTTTAAAGAAAGTATGGTACAACTTTGAGTCATAACATTATGAACTCAATTCTTGTGCCGAAAACAAAGGTCAGGACTGAAGATGTGGGCAGACACATTCTCCTCCATAGTTATCATGATGTGCCCGGGCATCATTTGGTGGATCTTAGAAATCTATAATAGATTTCCCAGATCTTTCCAGGGATCAGAAAGGAGCTTGTAAAAACATGCTGAGAACAGTTGTTTAGATGTAAAAATGCCTCACTTTAAATCTGGAAGACAGTATAATAGTAAATAGTAAGATTATTTTTTGTCTTTACATCTCCTAGCATCAGACGTGGTACTAGTATAAGGAAACGGAGGTGTTTGCCTCGGGAGAACATTTTGGGTGGTATGAATAGACCAAACTGGCAGATTTAACCTATTGGAGGATAGAACTGTACAATACGGGCCACCAGAACTTCACTGCTGCTCTTGAGCGTCCCACTACCAGTATTAAATCAGAATTCAACTGGCAGAAAAAAAATGCCAGGGGCCTGGTATAGGGTTGGTCATTATTCCCACATTATTCACCCAGGGTGAAATTAAAAAACAAACAGAAAACCAGGCAAATGTATAAAACTCTACTGCCTTTGTAGACCACAAGGTGTCATACTTTCTCTACCATAGTCCTTCTCCTCCAAATGATGAAGATATAAAGTAAGGAAGAAGTTTCTTCTTACAACATCGCATTGCTTGCATCAAAAGTAACAGACTGTGGGGAAAAATGCATAGGTAAAACAATGAAGGTCTTAAAAGCTTTAAATTGTCATAATTCAACTAGGGTGTCAGTGTGTGCACCCACCAGGTTGCCATGCCACACCTGACTAATAAGATGATGAAATAGGAAACTTGATCAACTACAAACAGAATGGCCAGCTTCTAGTATCCCATGTTTTAGCTATTGTCTCTGCAAACCAAATGGGAAATTGTATGTTCAGTACTGGAGTCTTGGTGATTGGAGGATATTAATTTTCCCACCCACTTTGTGGTATTGACAGGCAACATGGCCTATCAGTATCAGTGACTGGCCTATCAGTATCTGGAACTGGCAGAAGGAGGGAGGGTCCAAAAAATAAAGTGGAAAGGAGGCTAGCAGTATCTAAAACACTCCTCCTTCCTTTGGGTACTTTCTGTTCCCTAGTTATACATCTGATTTGCTTTGGTCTCCTCTGGTGTACTTCATTCTCCATGAATCCATGAAGTTGCTTTCTCAGGCCCTGTCAGTAACAGGCTTCTCAAAAAAAACTTTAGACAGAAAAGGCCCACTACTGCTAAGTGCTAATGGGCATATTTTAAATGAGCGAAAAGAAAATAATAATAATAAATTAAATATTAAATTTACGTGCTGCCTGACTCCCAGCAACTCTATATAGATGATGAAGAAGTCATATAAGTTAAGTTTGAAAAAATGCTGGAAAGAAGAGGGTGAGTAATAGTTGAATTGCATCGGTCACACATAGCAGGAAGAGATCATTTAAATTAAATAACTATATTGAGAATTACATGGCCTTTTAGACAAAACTAGAAGTGAACCAAACTGCATTCACTGAGTGCAGAATGTAAAATGTCCACGTTCTAAATTTATTTTTATGTAGATTATTTAAGCTGGCAGTATTTTGGCTCAGGGCATGTGAATGAAATGGATAATACCTGGGATTCTTTCCATCTCTATAATCCTTAAACTTTCAGGGCTGCAATTATGTATTTGAATGGTCATAATAAAAAAGATGGACCAAATATTCAAGTCACAGGCAACAATGTGTTTAGACTTCATAGTCCAGAGTTGTGAGAGTGGACAGTATAAAAAATATGTAAATAGTGTTCCACTTGTTTTCAACAAATGAAATACAATATACAGAATCAACAAATATCCTTAGAGGAGGATTGTGGTAGTTATTAAAACATGAATTAAGCCCAGGAAAGGAAGAAGGTGTTAGAAAGAAACTGAAAGTGACTCTGCATTGACTTTCTTAGGTATAAAAGGTAGGAAAAGGAAAACACTGTCAGGCTTTCAAGATTCTGTTATTATAGCCTATATCAGTATTTGTCAACCTCAACAACTTTAAGATGTATGGACTTCAACTCCCAGAATTCCCCCAGCCCACATGCTGGCTAGGTGAATTCTGGGAGTTGAAATCCATACATCTCAAAATTGCTGAAGTTGAGAAATACTGGCCTATATCAATAAAGTAGAATTCCAATATTTATTGGGGAGCATGTTTCCTAACCTGGCCTATCTCAAAGGGCTAACATGAGGTTTAATACCTGATAATCCTTCAGTAATTCAGAAATGTATGTCTGACCTTATCTTTTTAATTAATTAATTAATAAAGAAATCAAAATCTGGGTCCATAGTCATTTTGAATCTTCGCATAATGAATCTTCAGTTTGTTCTCAGGCTGACAAGCTACTTTTATTAACACAAAAAGGATAGCAAAAGCTGCTCCCAGTTCATTCACTGAGTGTCAGGTTCTCTTCATTTTCTGCTGCTAATGACCAAAACAAATTTTTGGATCCTACTGAAGTAGTGTGTTGCAAGATCATAATATTAAGATCACAAGAGAGTTGGTATGTTGGTATAACCTGGTACAGAATAGTTTAATACAGTAATATCCTTCCACTCCCCACTTGGGGACAATTTTACTTTTAATTAATTGCTCTTCCTGGTCCTGATAAGTGAACAGCTCTCAGGTTCATTCCAGTTTTCTAACATTTTTAATGCCAGGCTGACAGATGCACTATGCGATGAAAATGCAACATGATCAATCCCCACCAACTTCAGCCAGAATTGCCAGTGGTAAGGGATTGCACCCTTAAAACTGTGGTCTAAGATGTTTTTGTCTGTTCATTTCCAGATCAGGTTAGATCAGAAGCCTAATATGTTTCGTGTTTGTCCCTTCTCTAATTTGCTACAGCATCTCTGAGTGGAAAGACCCATATCATTTAGGATGTATATTTCATCAAGGGGATTATATAGTGGCTGTGAATGATTTGCAAATCAAAGACATGGATGAAATTTCTTTGTTCATAAGTAGATCCACAAGAAAGGAGGTAAGACATAGTAATTGAGGTAAAGCTTAGCACTAAGCAATACAAGTTTTTAATGCAAATTTATCATTAACTATTTTGTCCCATCTATCCACTTATAAATTGGTCTATAATCAGCCACTAGAAATGTCCTACTAGATGATAAATGATCATGTATCACTCTTCACTCCCCATTCAGCCCCCCCACTTGGGTTTTATTAGCCATGGGATCCCTTTTTAAACCTGAATCCTTAAAAATAAAGTGACAATGTCTTCTGAGCAAGCATAGTAAAGACTATAGGTTTTTTGTGAAACAAGTTCCTTTCAATAGCTTAAATATCTTTAAAGTACACAAATACCACCACCATTATCAGCAATAAGACAAAAACTGGGTTTATGAAAAATCCAGGAATATTCTAACTTCTGCTAAGGAGGATCAGCAAACTTTGAAATAGGTTTTTTTTGTTTTTGTTTTTTTACTAAAAATCTGAAGCAGGCAGGGCTGGCCCACAATTTGTTTCTGTTTGTGGCAAGGAACAAGCTAACATTCCTTTCTATCACAAGAACATGGGATCCTGTCATCCCACAAGCTGTAAAATGAATTTATCATTGCTTTAAAATCACTCTGATAGAGGATCTCCTCTAAGTCCATTGTTATGGCAGTCATAATTCCTGGCTTTTTCCCTGTTTACTTTTCTGTGTCTAGCATTAGAAATATTTGTTGAAATCATTTACTTTAGGACTTTGTTGCCAGTAGACTTTTCACGCGCTCCATCAAGATGCTAATGATACCCAACCTCATAAAACTGTCTGGCAAAAGAATTCATTGCTGCTGCAAACCTAATTCATCAGCATTGTATACATTTCTCATCTCCAGTGTTTGTTATAGGAATTCATACCGATTCATAGTTTGGACTTATTTATTATTATCTTCATTACACAAAAAGTACAAGGATCTATAAACTGTAAGTTATAACAGTATAATCACTGTTCCCAATTTTTCGTTTTCTCCAAAGGTAAAACTAACAATAAACCGACTCCCAGATTCAGAAATTTTGCATGCTCCAGGATGCAGCTGTCCATAATGGCATAAAAGAACAATGTAAGTATATCACAAAGCTATATCTTTTTCATGCACTTAGCAATCAGCCAAGGCATAATCAGATTTACTTTGTTCTGGTTTCACTGGCTTGTTATCCTATTTGCATAAGGAGATCAATGAAAAGAAGAGCTTAGTGAGGACTGTTCAGTTTGCCCCATCTGACAATTCATCCCTGCAAATTCATTCTCCTTTTCTGATCAGTGTTTTCAGTGACAATATTTTAAATAATTAAATAAAAAAATAATACAACCACGTTAAATCTTTACACAATTTCCCCCAACTTAGCATAGTTACAAGAAGTTAACTGTATGAAGATTTGCAGGGGAAAAAAAATACAGACAGCAGAATAAACAAGTTTGGGAAGATATGGTTTTGCTCTATTCCCAGGTATGTGGCTTCCCTAATCACCATTTATTTGATAATAAACTTGTAGGAAGGATTCATCTTTTTTTCCCCCTGACTTTCTTCTGATTATAGGCGCTAAAAGTTACAGGTGTCAAAACTGTTGAATCATTTCCCTTTACAGTATAATATCAGGACATCATTTTCTTTGATTCCCTTATCTTTTTCTTATTGGAAGTTCTTCCAGGTTAATTCATTCATTTTCTGTTTGACAATTCAAAAAGAGACTTGCATTCCTACATATATCTAGTCTTTAGATATACTTGCAATCATTAAACTTTGTGACTGAGATGATAATTTGTAATTTATTACAAATCAGTGAAAGAAAATGTGTTGCAGAATGAATAAGAAGTGAAAGAACTTTGCAACTGAACATTAGCAAAATCAGTATTTTATACCTGTAGTTTTAGTTTTATAAAATTTCTACTTAAATTTTGATAATTAACTGAGTCACTAACAACTAGTGGCAGTCAAAATAGTATTGATGAACAATAGGATATACTGCTATATTCTGCTATCCTGTGGCTTTTTTAAAAAAAATGTACATTCCTTGTTTTCATCTTTCTTCAGATAGAAAGTCACCTGGAGATACTCTTGCAAATTGGATGGCTACATAAATAAATAATTAATCACATCAGGCCTCCAAAATTAAATATATCAAAGTAGTTAATCAGGATTTATTCATGTTCCTAAGTATGGCTTATTGAATAAATCACTCTTGGCAGCATTCATGGAATAGATGAGTCCGTGCCATAGTTCATTTGTATGAATCTGAAATCCAACTGCATAACTTTCCTCTGAACAAGCCCTTAGGAGCTTACAACAGTTTTTTTTCCCTTGTGTTCTCCATTTCTTTAGCATGTTTTATTATAAATAAGAATGTTAGCACCAGTGGGGGTAGCAGCTTCTTTATAGCAGTGCCTGCCTTCTGGAATGAGGTTCCCACTGAGATCTGGATGGCCTTTGGCAAGGGACAGTGAAACCCCTCACTTCAGTAGGCATGCCATTGTTTATTTTTATTTTTTATGTTTTATTGATTTTATTGATTTTATTGTAATTTATTTGTTTGATTGTTGTGAGCCACCCAGAGTTGTTCAGAGTTAGGCAATATACAAGTTTAATAAATAATATAGTAATAAATAATATAATAAAACTTATGTACATTTTTTTTAAAAAATCACAGCATAGCAGAACAACAATAATAACAAAAGCAACTGAGGCCAATCAACATATGTCTCATTCAAGGTCTTCCTTTCTATATGGGCTGATCCCATGGTCTGGCCCAATGCTCAGGGGAAGAGCAAGGTTTATGATTATTATTAAGCAGGAAAGGGGTTGAAATAGAAATATATTTATTTTAACTATTTTCTTTATATGTCACTCTACTTGCATCACTGAGTGATGCACAATAGAAAAGCAACAAGATAAACATAGCAATCCATATGAATATAACCCAAACTACAATACTTATCCAGAATCGCACCAAAGGCCAATGTCTTGATGAAATAAAAGACCCCTTCAGAACGAAAGGAAAGTTACAGCCAGAATTTCCTCCAGGAAAGAGTATTGCAGAATGTATGAACTATTACTGAGAACGCCTGAGACCTAGCCCATACCCCCTACATCTTCTGTGGGAGTAGAACTCTCAAGAGGCCCTCTTCAGATGCTTGGGCAGAATTATACTTGGCAAGGCAGTCCCTGATATATCTCTTTGCCATCCTCTGTAGGACTTTATAGGTAATAACTTACACCTTGAATTGGACCCAGAAGTTCACTGATACCCACCAAAGAACCACAACATAGGTATGATTCTACTGTAATAGGTTTCCCAGCTAACAACTCGGTCACCTCCTTCTGCACCAATTAGAGCTTCCAAATCATCTTCAAAGGCAGCTTCAAGTAGAGTGAGCTGCAGTAATCAAATTGTGTGGTGAACAGGGGGGAGGTACTGTAATGTGGATTTCCCAGTCCTGATCAAGCTGTAATTAGTGCACCATCCATAGCTGGCAAAGTTTAGAAATACAGTAGATACGTTTTTCAGGACGTGGCTATTTCTTCTCTTAGAATTCTTGGGGAATGTACTGATGGGTTCCTGCACTTCAGTTTTATCATTTCACTACTGCTAGAACTATAAAGGAATAACTTGGCTCTTCCAATAATGCTACAAGTTTCCAGCACAGTTCTGTTCATTCAAATCAGACTAGCTCCATGTGAAACTGCTGCAGTTTTTTTAGACTTGCACTCTACAAAAGTCCAAGTATGTATCTCTTTTAAGCCTCAATAATGACATGAGGATTCCCCACCACCACCAATACACTGGACCTAGCCCACCAATTGCCCACTACTGTAGCTGCAACACTGGTGCAATCAGATAGCAAATAAACAAATACAATGCTCTACAACTGCAGCAAACTATTTTTTCCCCTCTTCCACACCTCCACTTTGGTTGGAGGATACACTGTGGCATGTTTCTTCTGTGATTATTTTTTTCTTTGGGGAAATGAATGTCCAGCCTCGCTGTCTGCCTTCCAATTTCCCTGTTGTGCTCACACAGCTGGCAATAGCAAGCCACCAAAAGCATTTCTGATCCACAACTGATGAATACAAGAGGGAGGAAAAGTGGGTTGGATTTACAGCGCATTGGAGTGATATGCATATCAAATAGTTTGTGACATGGAAGTTATCTATGTCTTAATCAGATCGTTCTCTCTGAAAATTTGGAAAATGTGGAGCCATTCCCGGAAACGCTTCTGGCATTTCAAGCTTGCCTTGAGAGTTCAATATCCAAGTAGCCTTCATCTTTTTTTGTTTTTTAAGGATTGCTGCCAAGAGTTCATACTTTCAAGTTCTCCTGAAGTATAACCAATAAATCCCATCTGTGCTTATGAAGATATCAATCACAATAATGGATCTCATCATCATATTTATTTTATGGCACACAGAAAGTTTGACAAATTCTATCTCAGTATATCATTAAGGTTGCCAGATTAAAATCTGGGAGACAATTCAAACAGGTCTTTATCCCCAGTGCAATGGGACACAGAGCAAGCATGATTTCTTCTGATCATTCTTTCCTTGGCTGCTGTGTCTAGCATAAATTCAGACTGGGTTCTCTCCTGGGTACCGAAACAAATGACAATCATACTTTTTCAGAGAATACACATGCTTAACAAACAACCAGCATTCTGCTATCTTTATTCTGCTACATTATACTTCTGTTTGTCTTTTTGAATATTGGGAACATAAACTTAGATACTATGCCTAATGTGTAAAACTAACCAAAACACTCCACCCCAGATTTTATATGATAGTCTGATACTTTAAAGTTGTTTTCCTTTTGGGGAAAGGAAGAAACAATATGTGGTATGTTAGCTAAAGCTCTATTTTCTTTGAAATGGCAAACCTGTGTGTGGACTGGTCTCTTTAGGTTGCAACTGTAGGTTCACACATGGTCTACAGTGCTCCTATTTTAAATAAGATATTTTTCATTGATATCAGGGAATATCTTATTTTTTATAAAACAGCTAACAAATTGTTTTATACTATACAGTATACAAGTAGATAGATAGAGATATTTGAAGAGAGACCTTACCACAGCTTGGATACAACCTCGTAACTTCAGTGGAAACAAAACCAAAGCACCATCCTGAGAATTAATGCTTTTCCTAATTTCTTATTCCTATGCTCTTTCTGACAGATTTGTTACCAGTTTATTACAAGAATATCTGGAATCTTCCAGATACATCTTTCTTCCTGCCCTCTACCTTATAGCATATGAAGTAGTATACAGTAATTCCACTTTATTGAGCAGATTAAGGATAGATAGTATTATCAACTTCATAGTCTTACCTGCTTTACAATTAATTACCATTTGCTTTGCTACTCCATTCTAGGAAGCAGAATATTCATTGCTTAAATATCTGGGGTTGCCATCCTAGTGGAAGTTTGATTATGTCTATGTTTTTGACCACCAGACAAGTGGATCTTTGCTTGTGAACCTCTACAGGCTCATATAATACTATGTCACATGATGTTTGTTCAAAAGTCTACTAGTGACACCTAAAAGGACTGTACTTAGGATGCATTTATTTATTCTTTATTTATAAGAAATGCCCTGTTAAATCAGACCAAAGATGAACCAAATACAACATCTTGCTACTCAGAGTGGTTACGCTGATATATGGGAACAGGAGGACGATAGCTGTGTAATTTCATAACAGCTAAAATTTAGTGGCGTGCTGCTTCTGATCCTTGTAGTATATTGCTATCACTGTTTGAACCCACTGATAGTCTTTTGTGTTTCTGTGTGTGAATTTATATTCTTGTACATGGGATTCTTTAAACTCCTTAGATAAAAATTCTGGTGCATCATAAATGAAATGCAGTGTAGTGGAAGATGAGATATTATTAACATCTGCTAATTAGGAATGTAAATGTCAGAAATTGTTTTGTTCTGTTGCTTGGCAAATGTTCCATCTTGACATCTTCCTAACTAATTAAGCCTCATTTTTATTTAATTGTTGCACTCTTTCAAACCCCTCCTGCTTAGAAATATGAGGGAACTGCAGGTTTAATTATGAACACACATTAGATCTTGGCTTCCTTTCCCAAAGTAGTCTCTCACCATGTTCTTCAGTTCTCCTTCCTAAAAATACCTTTTGGGTTATCTCTGCTTCATGTATTATACTCTACCAGTGTGATAATTGTTTCAGTTGTTTCATTAATAAGACAATGAAAAACAATTTCATTTTGTCATTTCTATGAATGCATGGATGCTTCTGAGAACAGCTGTCCTCCAGAATTGCTCCTTGGAACTTGCTGAGGCCCTTTTTTATCTCAATGTCTGTTAGAGGGTTAATTCAAGAAATAGAAGAGGGTTAATTCAAGAGCGAAGAGAAATAGAATAGAAAGCAGCTGTTCATTTGGCTGGGTTCAGGTATTAGATATGTTTGGGATGTAAATCAGGAAACTATTCATTCCACTTTTACAAGCCAGCAAGCAAAACATTCCATAATTACATCTAATACAGAAAACTCTTCTACTTATTCATTTAGAAAAAGCTAAGTTGTCATGTTAAATGATTAAAATAAGATTAGAAAAAAAATAGATATGAGAGCTCACTTTCAGGCTTCTGATGTTGCTTTGTGATAGAGGTATATACAGGTATTCAGGAGAAGAAAAATGAAAGAAATGGATAGGTAAGATCGTGTGTGTGTATGTGTGTGTGTGTGTGTATTTTTTAGAGTGATAATTAAGTTGCATAATTTGGTGCTACAGAACTAGATATGATGTGGCCATTGTGCTTCATGATAATAAGGGGGAATTAGAGAAACTGAAGAATGGATTTTTCAGTGTCTTAGTCATAATATCTATTTGCAACTTCTGAGTGCAGTACTGTGTATGGAATTGAAGGACAGCTGTGAGGGACCATCATCAGGTAGAACTTCGAGCCCTGCCTGTGGCCTTCCTGAAGACATAGTGGGACATTCTAGGAAGTTAGATCTATATATCAACCATTATTTGATGCCCTCCAAATACATTTAGACCACAAGTCACAGAATTCTCAATTAGCATCTCTCATCTAGTTTAACAAAGTTCTCTGTGATGGATAGCATGAGCAGGGAAGATTCTGGAATGGAGCTTCAAGGTTGTCAGGAGAGGGGAGAGACATTCCAGGGCAAGCACCTTCTCAGCCCGCAACAAGACTGTGGGAAAACGAAGAGGATGAGGCTGGCTTCTTCCTAGAGCCTCACAGAGTATATTCTCTAGTAGCTGTAGATAACTTGAGTCTGGTGATATTGATGTTAGGTTCAGCCCAAGAACCACCTCGAGGCCTTCCAGTGCAGTACAGTTATTTTATTGACTATTACCTAATAGACAGAATCTCGCCAGACTAAGTTTATCTACATTTACTAGAGAATATACTCCGTGACGTTCTAGGGAGGAGCCAGCCTCATCCTCTTCATTTTCCCACAGTCTTGTTGTGGGCTGAGAAGGTGCTTACCCTGAAATGTCTCTCCCCTCTCCTGACAACCTTGAAGCTCCATTCCAGAATCTTCCCCGCTCATGTTATCCATCACACTCTCATTATGTTCTTACCTTCTTAACCTTTGAATAGTTCTTACTTCCTTTCTTATATTCAAGAATGTTATTACTCACTGCCTCCATACTATAAACATTTTCAGGATTGATCCTTTTCTCTTTATTTGGTCAATCTAGAACTCTTTTTCTGTTGTGTTTTTATGATGTTGGATATAATAGAATTTTGCTGCTCTAACACAAAGTTTGGGGTCAGCTCAGCTGCAGCAGTTGTTTACGTTCAGTCATAGTTCATATGCAAAATCTAGCTGTGCTCCTGAAACCTCCACTTCCTGGCCAACTAGGAGGAGGTTAAAATAACCAGTCTCCATCCTACCTGGGTATTGTGTTGAGTGGGAAGATGTATAAAGCCTAATGGTCTCTATAGAGCAGACAGTACAGCAACACATGACCCAGTGTTTCCATTTTTTCCTCACCACAATGGCAAGGCCATTTTTCTTTGGGTAGATTGCCCTCCAATAGGACTGAAGGAGGGCACTGCAATGGGCCAATGTGAAAATTCTTCTGGTGTTTTGGAGACAATATTAAATGGGTATCGAGCAGGTACACTTTTTGCTGGTCTTGTTGGGATAACGTAGGGTGGAGCCTGGCTAAAATCACTTTGCAGGTCAAAATCTCTGGCATGTTGCTTGAAAAATGCTCTGGCCTGTTCATACCATTGGGATTAGTGCATTAGGGGAGAGCCCACAATACCTTAAGGTAGCACTAAGTGATTTGTACCAAGAACACCAAAATTTATCTTGAAATGTCAAAGCAATCAGACTGCTTGGGCTAACAGTTTTAACCAATAACTAACAAGAGGTATCTGCACACAGGTTTTAATTGAAGCCATTTCAGCCTCAACCTGAAGAACAGACTTTGGAACGCGTGGTGGGGCCAAGAATAAGTCCCTTAAAAAAACTGATTGGACCACTTCTAGCAATTTTATGTCCTTATACATGCATTATTGGAGGCTGTAGGATATCTGCTATTACTTTGGCTTCAAACACCTTTAGTCCACCCAGAATATAATTATCTCCTTTAGTGCAAAAAATCCCTTAGCAGGACAGCTATACTGCTTTTGACTTTTTAAGGACTGAATTTGAGCCTTCCACAAACCAGGAGTATGGAAAATGATTCTCAGGTATTTAAATGCCTGGGCTTGTTCAACGATGTCAACATTGACTTGCCATCTAAACTAACTTTTTAACTTTTAACATTTCTGGAATGTGATCATTCAAAATTCACTTTTTGTGCTATGCTTTGCTAGCTTGGAAGCCAAAGGAATTATTTCTGCTGAGAGAGATTTGTGGGATTCTGTAGGGTATGTGCTGGAAGTGAGTGGCATAATATTTGCCATGTATTTTATTTTACGTAAGTACTTATTTTAGACTTGCTCTATCAACACAATGATACTGCCACTCATGCAAATGGAAAAAAAATGTTCATGAGAGTGGAAAAAAATTGTTCATGTCAAGGTATTCATCAGGGACTTGATAACACGATGACAGTGTATAAAAAATGTAAAAGATCAAAGCATGTAAAATGGAAAGGGCTTGGCAGGTGCCTTTGCAGTATTATATGTGCCTTTTCAATACAATTTATTGAAGCGTTTCAACCATGAAGGCATTTGCAGGAACCATTACAAATTGCCCTCAAAGGATATTTTTGTCAAAAAATATGTAATATTTCAACAGATATGACATGTGTATGCCACATTTTCTATACTTCTTCTAGTTCTCCATATAAGCATTAGTAGGGGGAACAACAATTACTAAAAGTTGTTAAAGACATTAGTTTCTTTACTACTGCCTGTAATTAGATTCATTAGAAGTATCTTTTCATGGAATCACAATTGCTCTTGCATTCAGTTTAATGCCATCTCCCAACATGCATAAACACAAATTGCAAGTTATGCACAGCATGGATTGCATACCCTGTTCTAAGATGTGGGATTCCACAAAATTCAATCTTCAATATTTTTATTAATGACTTGGATGAGTTATGGGTGCTTATCAAACTTTCACATGACTCAAGATTAGATGGAATAGCTAATATTTTAGAAGACAGAAATAAAATTCAGAATTATGGATTAAAGAAATGAGATGAAAGTACAAAATGAAATTTAACAGTGATAAATACAAATGGATTCGTATAAATATAGAGATCCTGGTTTTAGTAATAATACCTGTGAAAAAGATCTTGGGATGGTGGTTGATTGCAAACTAAATATGAATCAGTAGTGTGATGCAACTACAAAAAAGACAAATGCGATTATACTTCTGAAGTATAATTTCCAAACTGCAGTAATCATTCCACTTTATTTTCTTGTTCTCCTGCTCTACACTTAAAGGAGGATTCATATTGGAAAGGTTTAGAGAAGAGCTACAAAGATGATACCAGAAAATAAACCTTACTAAGAAAGATTTAGGAGGTTTTCTTCAAATTCTTCAAATATCTCAAACAATATCACATGGAAGTCAAGTCTTCCTCTCCGTCATTCCAGGATGCAGGACAGAAAAATAGATCCAAATTGCAGGCAGGCAATTTTCAATTAAATGTCAGAAAAATGCATTATAGATATATAATATATATCTATAACAGAATATATGGGTTGGAAAGACTGGAAATTTTTGAATGAGAGCAGAGAATTGAGAATTTAAAGCAAAACAAGCTTTAGTGGTTTGAGGAAGGAGCAGTTTTGCCCCTTGCTTTTAACTGATTCCAGCATTTATTCATTCCTCAGTTGCCTTGCTACACTATTAAAATTTACAGCTCTAAATAGCATTGGTACATCTCAACATCCATTTTGGAATAAGTGGAATACTTGCTGACAGAATAATGCCAAACACAATTATTTCTTCTTCAGCATGTTCCCATATTGCTTTGCAGGCTTATCTTCATACTATATGAAAATATTATAAGCTATTGTGATGTAAAATTAATAAAGTTATTCCATGTTACCTAGCTTGTACGGTCCGTTGATACAGATTGCTGCTGTCAGAATGTACCCAAGATCAAATAATTGATTGTGAATAGAAATTCCAATGGTTTGTCCAATGTACTCCAGAAAATTTTATAATTCCTTCTGTGTATGGTTTGTAACCCTTTTATAAATGTTTATTTAACTATTATATGGTATATGTGTCTAATTGCAAATCCATTTATCAAAGCAAGGTTCAATGTACAAATAAATCTATCTAAGATATGACTTTACACCTATCTTGCTTACTGTACTCTTTTATTGAAAGAATAACTTTTATAGCCACTTTCAGGCAGAATGATTTTGCTTCCAAAAATACTGAGATGTACAAGAATGTTTTATAAAGCTTTCCAGAAAACATTACTCGAGCTCACAATTGTAGCTAAGGGATAAGAACACTTACTCACATTTTACACAGCAGTTTTCCATAATCTGGCATCCTCCAAATGTATTGAACATTCATGATTTCTAATCAGCATGGCCATTAGAACTGTCTAGCCCATGTGCAAGGCAACAGACTGACAGATGGTCTTATCTGATCATTAAGACAAGAGAAGCACTGTAGTCGTACTTCTATGCAAATTAGCATTTACACATTTGCAATGCATATTTTGAATCATATCTATAATTACTAAAATGTGAGTTTAAAAGAAAAATTCTGGATCCATAGAGATTTAAAATCTTTCCAGTTTTGAGCCCTTCAGTGAAACTAGCTGACAGCCAAAACTTTGGACGTGCAGGGTGTTTACTTGAGTTACATAAGAATCATGTCACTCTGCCAGTTAAATTCTTGGCACCTTCCAAGCCTAGTAAAAAAAGTCCTGGCGAATACATAAGACTGTAGCAAGTACTCAGTCCCTTGATCCAACTAAAACAGCTCCCTTTTGTGCTAAAATACAAGTTATATATTCAAAAGGGAAAAATGTTGGTTTACATTTTAATGATGCATCAAATTGTATTTTTCTATTCCATATTTTTTGTCTATAAATCAAAAAAAGATTGTTTCTGGAAAGCATCAGGTTTGGAAAACAGTTATTCTCAATAAAAAAACAAGATACAGTGGCTCAGCCTCTCTTGATATATGGTAGTATAGATGCTTAAATATGATTTAGTTTTCATACTTATCTCGCAGAATATATGTTCTGTTCATAATACAGTATGTTCCAATTTTCTAATAAATATTTAAATACTTTTGTAAACATCTATTTTATCATTCATTATAACAGACTGATGCAATTACACACTCAGAACACTTGGTTGAAGTAAAAATTGAACTCCCCTCATGTATGGATAATGATCCTCTCCGATTTGGTGACTACATAATTAGAGCAAATGCCAACAAAAATTTAGAAATAAATAATTGGGTAAAAGATTGAGTGGGCCTATTAATTCTTACTAACAGAGTTTTCCAAGGTCTTTAGGTGTCTAGATACTTCCTTTTGTGGACCCATTTTTTTCTGAGCTACACACTACATTTGAAACGTAGTGATAGTAGTCTGATTTTTTTTCTTCTTCTTTGATAGTGTATTATTTTTGTTTTGTTTTTACTTTATGTTATTAATTAAAAAGCAATAAAATTATTTTAAAAATTATTTTTAAAAAATCAACATACAGATTTAAAAAACCCTACACCAACCCTTCAACAGGACAAGCATGAGACCAAGGGCAGTACAGTATCTTGAAAAAAAACAATGTTTGCTTTGTAAAGTATTAAA